GTTCCTCAGTAGCTAGCTGGTACATCCTGTGAAGAAAGGGATAAATTCTAACTGCCAGATGGTAAACTCCAGCATTTGCCAAAAATATGTATACCCACTTCAGCAGTTCACCGTACTAATAAATGTCTGGAAAGTAATGACCAACACTTTAAGCACCTCTTGTAATTGTACTGGACAAAAGTAACTTGTATTAGTCACATGAAACTTCAATAAATTTACTATTAAAATATTCATATAGGTTTTTCTCTTCCTGATATATACAAATTTTTGACAGACTCTGTATTTGGCACCTTATCCACATTCATTATTTGTTTATTAAAGCAATCCATTAATTAATTTACTGAAAAATCAATTTTAACTATTAAGCTTTCTGGAGTGAGGAAAGAAACTTTCTATATATTTGTCCTACCTGGAATAACATGAGAATTGTAGTCAGGAGGAGCATCAGGTCTTGTATCTGGTGTTTTGGTTTGATTTTCCATTTCATCTGCAGGCTGCTCAAGGGCTGTGGGTATTAAAGATTGAGAAAAAAATATATATATGTATACATTACTTACAAAACAAATAAATGATTGTAAAGTATATTGACTTTTTTCTTGTATATATGCATTAAAGAATATATTCAATATTAATACACTCATATTTCTTATGAAAACCCATAGTTAGTCATATATTACATATCAGTGTATTAGAAGATTTCATAAATTTTAGGTTGATCCTAGATTAAAATGGAAGCATTACATTGTGCTTGTGGTTAGAGCAGTGAGCTTTTACACCAGTGGGTCAGGTGACCTAATTTTGACTTCTACCTACATGGTAAATTGGCTCAATGACAGTGAAAATCCTTTCTCCTGTTATTGGAGAAAAAAAGAGATGTAGAGTGAATTCCATTTTTTTCTTGATCCTCTTTGAAAAGTTCTGTCTAAATAAATTCACAATATAATACCATAGATACTCAGTAGTTTAAAAGCTAGTGGTGGTGTCATACATTTTAGACATAGTTCAGTCTGTACCTGCAGTGACTCGCAGGCTTGCTACATTCTTCCTAAAAGCATCTTTGTCATAGGAATTATTTCAAGGGAGGAGCTGAAATTATTTATCATGACATTTCACCTTGTCCTGTGGATGAGATTGGAAAAATTCTCCCCTCGACATCTGTAAGAAAAATTCTGAATTTTCTAACAACTGGCTTCTTTTATCTCATAAAAATGTAAATTCCACAGCTGTGGTGTTTCTCATTTTATGCAGGTTACTGTAAAATGCAGGGTCTATTCTCTCCTATGAAAGATAAGCTGTCACTGAAGCTCTTTACTTCCACTACCTCTTTACAGACCTATACCCTATCCTTATTTTTCCTTTACATGATTTTCCTCACATACTCTAAAGATTGTTCAGTAGGTATGTGCCAATGAGATGCTTTTCAATTTTTTTGACATAGAAATAGAAATATTCACAGATAAATGTATATACATATATACAAATGTTAAAAAATAAGACTTCAAAATGAAAATAATTCTCTTTTTAAGGAAAAAAAATCACATAATTTACATTTGAAAATGAAATACATTCAAATTTATTCACAAAACTTACCTGACATTTTGAAGAATTCTAATTATCCTGAAAAAGAAAATATTCTTATGCCTTAAGATACATACACACACATAATATATAATGACTTAGTAATACATATGACAAGTTCTTTAGTTTCTTTAGGCATCAGTCTTTTCATTCATCTCTTCATTAATTTTATAAATACTTTCTGAACTACTATTATGTACAGCACTGGATACTATTACAGAGGTGAAGAATACAGAAAAAAAAAAAAAAAAAAAAAAAAAAAAAAAAAAAGCAAAAATCACCAGTTACTCAGTTGCCTGCTCTGCTGAATTTTATATTTTAGCAGGTGGGACTAAAAAACATGTCAACAAATATTTGTTTTAATTTAGCTAGTATAGTTACGAAGAAAATCAAAAGGTTTAAGAGAAACATCTGTGGGAAGTTCCAGGAAGGTCAGGGGCAGTCTCTTTAAAGAGGGGTCTTTAAACTTTCTGAACTATGAAAAGAAAACATCACCCTAAAGTTGTGGGAAGAGAGTTCCCGGAAGACAGAAAAATAAATGCAAAGGCCCAGAGATGGCAATGAACAGTGATATTCAAAGAAGAAAAAAAAATGCTATGGTAACTGGGCCACGGTGAATGAAGAGAACCAAGGTAAGAGACGAAGGCAGAAGTCTGATCACGAGCAAAGGCCACAGCAAGGCGTATGCAATTCATTGTCCCTGCAACTGGAAAGTCTTCGGAGGATTTTAACTAGTGGGGTAATCAGATCTGACTACTTAGGGCTGTACCCTAAGAGGGCAAGCTCAGGGAGGGATGGAACCAGTAATCCAGGTAGGAATTGCTGGCCTAGACTGGGGGATCGTATATGGTGAATTTTATTTGATTTTATTTAGGTAATGGGGATTAAACTCGAGTCCTTGTGCTTGCAAGGTAGGGAGTAGAACCACTGAGCTAAATCCGGGGCCCTGGTGAGTTTTAATTTTTAAAAAATTATTACAGTAAAAGATACATTGCCGTACATCTCTCTCAAAACATTCTCCCTCATTGCAAACACACATCCCATCATTTTTGCGGCCTTCAGAAGTAGTTCTGAAAGTCCTCTTTCATGAGCATCTTTACAAGGTGTGATTAAAAACACAGTGAATGGTGCCTCTGAGTGCCATCTAACAGATTATTCGATGGATCAGATCTGGAACCCTGTGCTTTCTGGTTTTTCCTCAAAGTCAAAATGACCATGAAAGATAAATGTTTTGAATCGATTCGGGACATCAAGGCAACAATGACAGCCCAACCAAAGACAACAAAGAGGACTTCTAGAACTGCTTTTGAAAGTAGCAAGAATGATGGGATAAGTGTGTTCAAAGAAAGGAGAGTATTTTGAGGATTATTAATGGCAATGTGTCCTTTATGTGATAAATTTTTAAAATTTAAATATTCACTATATTTTAAAAATCAGATGCTTATATAGTATGACTCCATTGAAGAACGTTCAATTGGAAATCTTAAAAAAACACCAACTGATACATGTCTGGAGGCAACTTTAAGAAAATGCTAAGTAATTACTAAAAAACGTCAGGAAAATGGCTCCATGTGAAGAACTGATGTAGGAGCCAGCATTGAGCAGTGGCTTTCAAAAGGCTCTAAGTCCCTGACGATGTTCCATTTCTTGTGGTAATGGAAACAGTGAGGCACAATACTCGTTTTTAAAGGGTACAAATATGTTTAAATATGCATATTTGTGTATGATATTTCAAAATAAACAAGCCCATTTGGTAGTGATGTGTTAACTGTAACCTTTTAATTAAAGGTCTGTTGTTCATTTTTGTGTTAAGTCTAGGGATTCAAATCATCAGGAACCAAAAAGGAAACTAACTAGAACATTTTTTAAGTGCCTCACTTAAAAGCTGGCCAATGATCTGTTCATCTATCCAACTGTCCTTTTGTCCATCCATCCATTCGTACAACCATGTATCTGTCATCGTTTTAGCTATTAATCTTGGTAAACTGTGCAGTATAGTAAGTAAGTAGCAAATACTCACTGCTGAATTAGTAATATTACTAATTTTAATAGGTTTCATTTTCAAAACATTGTAAAACTTGAAAGAAAAACACAGAAATACAGAAAAATACAGAAAGCACAGGGTTCCAGATCTGTTCCATTGAATAACCCATTAGATTAAACCTAAAGTAGTAACTCTGGAGAACAGGTCTCAAAATCATGAGTTCTGTCAAAATCCCAAGTGATTCTTGTAATCCATCAAGCACACTTAAGACCACATCACAGAAAGAAAAGGAACAATTGTTAACTATGCCAGGCAGAAATTTAGAATTCAATTTTAATTAAAGATATTTAATAGCAAGTTTTTTAAAAAGCAACATTTTAGAAATCTATAAAGTTTAACAGCAACTAATATCAATGAATTGAAGCAAAAAACAATATATGTACACAAATGGCTCACCAATTGCAGGTGCTCTGTTGTTCATCTTCCCTCTTCTTTGAGTCACTATTTTTTCCCTCACCACCCTATATTTTCTTCCTTTCTTCTACAGTTTTGCAATACTATTTTAGCCAAATTTTTATGTAAAGCAGGATAATTTTCAGTTGGTACAAATATGTTAACTTAATTATCTCTTAATACTGAGTGAATTGTGTCAAAGTTCTGCATCATTCAGCAACAGCAAAAAAAGCCTGATTTTTGGTTTTATATGAGATGGCAACTACTCTAGAAAACTAAGCCATGTCTTCTTGACAGGTTAGTATAACAAAGTCCAGGGAGCTCTTATTTGCAGGAGCCTTGGTATTTGGGGAACATATGATTCATATAGGGGAATCTAAACTGACTGAAGTAGAATAGAGAGTGTAAGAGTCATAGATGGTATAACTGGGCTCCAGGTGGCATTGGGTGCCTTGCAAAACAGAACTCCTATTAAATGACATCCTAGAGTAAGACAGTCTGCATGAATATCACTTTTTTTTTTCAATATTGGACTGCTACAAATTTGCTCTTCAATTTCACACTTGTAAACAATTACACACTTGGGTGAAGCCCAGTAAAAGCAATAGGTCTAGAACCCACACTGCATATATCTGAAATTTCAGTCACAAAATCCAGACTGTCAGCTCATTACAGTTGAGTATTAACTGGAATCTGTCCTAACTTCTGGGAAAGAGATCCTTTGGGCTGATGAGAATCTGTAAATTGTAAAACTCTGGGTCTGGCTTATCTCTGAAACCTTCAGCCTTGAGAGGAAAGAAAAGAAAGTAGGAGGTCCTGTAGACAATTCCTTCTGCTTTATAGCAGGGACAGAATAAAAGGCTTGTTCTCCTAAAGTCTTATACTACGTACCATAGCATTCCATCTTTGTCAATAGATTTAGTATGTAATTGTTACAACACAATATCTTTTGTAAATCTTAATCCTTCCTAAGGACATCCTGAGGTAGAATTATATCCTTTATAATAAAGCCTTAAAATGAATTTTAATCATATGTAGAGTATTATTGTGAGTTCTGTTAGTCACCCTAGCAAATGATCAAACCTGAGATGATGGGATGCCTTGAATTTACAACCAGTTGGCAAAAGTATGGGTGGCTTGGAATCCCCAAACCTGGGGCTTGTATTTGAAGTGAGGAAGTCTTATTGGAAATTATGCCGATAAATCTGGAGAGTTTGTATTAACTCTAGGAACTGGATTGCAATACTGAATTTGGATTACCAAAACCATTGCTAAATTGTTAAAATACACTCATTCTCTCTCTCTCTCTCTCTCTCTCTCTCTCTCTCTCTAACACACACACACACACCCCTCTGATTAGCAAAAGAATAGGGGGAACATATCAGAAAAGTACAGTGGAAATAAAATCAATTTTGTATTTTTCTCTGGCATTCCTGGGCCAGCATTGTTTCAGTGAAGCCTGACCATAGTACACAGTTCGAACCATGTCCAGAGATAGCTCCAGAAGACCTTTTGTTCTGGCTTGAACAGGGGATTTCTAAAGTTCAGAAGAAGTTGGCCAATTCCTAATAATTTTTCCTTTTCTGCATTCTCTCCTGTCCCAGATTCTGGTAATCCCATTGTTAGAGAAGGAATGATTTTATTGAAGAAGACTCACAGGTGTTAAAAAAAAAAAAAATCTTCTTGATACAAGGAAATATGGTCCCAAGAGCATGGCATCACATCCTCTGTTGCTTTTTTTTGTCCTCTCTGCCCTCTTTTGACTTGGCCTTGAATGCAAGTGAATTTGTGAGAAGCACCCAGCAATAAAAGGTAAACAAAAACCTCTCTTTTTTTTTCTTATTGGAGAACCAAAAAAGAGAGAGGCCCAGAAAATAGGTAAATAGCAATAGATCTCAGAGCAGGAGACGTTTGGGAAGGTTGTTAAGAATAAAGTTGTTTATGAACTCCCAGACTCATTCATGGACATGAACCTAAATATCTAACTCCAACAAAGACTCTGAGAACTGAAATAAAAAGAACACCTCACAGGCCTCAGATTGGCCATGCGGATGGGTACACGTAAGATAGCTCTGAATACCTCCAAAGACTTTGAAAATGAAGCTAACATCAAAATTACAACACCAAGAAACAACGTGGCCAACTGTCTGTCAAAACAAAAAAATCAGTTTTCCCTATGGCATTTAAACAAGACTTAGAATCTCATAAAAGAATATGCAAAATGGCCAGTATGCAATACAAAATTATGGTATACAAAGAACTAGAAAAATGTCAACTTGTAGAACATTTTCAAAAGTTAATGCCAATATGACATAGCTGTTGAAATTATCTGGCAGTTTTAAGTAGCTATTTTAAAAATGTCTCCAAGAAGTGGTGGAAGAAGAGTGAAAGTATCAGTGGAGAAATAAAAGGTCTGAAGAAGTAAATTAAACTTTCAGAACTGAGAAAATATAATAAAAATTTAAAAGTCACTGGATATACTCAGGAGATAAATGAATATTACATGGAAAAAGTTACTAAGCTTAATGGAAAATAAAAAATGGAAATAAAGTTTTTGTAAATAGGGTAGGGAGGAGGGGGTGAAGGGAGGGCAGGGGTGTGGGGGAAAATAAGAACCAAGATCTGTCATGTAAAGGTATAAGTTCCAAGTGATGAATGTAACTGTACTGTGTACCTAAAATGTACCAATAAACTCAATAAAAAGAAAACTAGCCATATATATACATATACATATATATGTATGTATATACACT